GCATCTAGAAATTGAAGTTTATGCATATAGAGAAACAAGCATGGGAAAGGAAAAGAAAGCGCCCGACGCTGTTCGTACCTTATTTTGGTATTGCGTCCCACGCCAATTGGAACCTTTCCTGCCGCTAGAAGAGACGCGATTTCAGATTCTGTTTGATAATAGTCTGCACCCATCATCATGGTATCCTAAAAGAGAGAAATGTCCAGTCTTATCAGAAATCGTATTCGTAGTTTCATTGTAACATTTTCTCAATGCTGGCTCCCAAAATGCACAAATAGCTATTGAAATCTATTTGCTTCGATAATTGCGAGTCCATTAATCTTTGTTTACTATACTAAGGCACCCGAATACGGCTAAGAAAAGATAAAACATACCTCGAGCTCAACACCATAGTCCAAGCGTGATCTTATTCCCACTATAGAGTGCTGGACGCTACATTCTCTTAAGAAGCAACCATGTGAAATTATTGCATCAACTATCTGAAAGAAGTAAGCCATTCATGATACACGATAGAACAGAAAGCCACAATCACATTTTTCTGAGGTTACCGGCATACCCGGCATTTTTCAACTTTAGTAGGGGGTAAGAATCTTGGAGACGTATAGAAAGGTGTCTTCGGGTCATTAAAATCAAACTTTGGAGGCTGCAAAAAAGAAAGTAAGCAGCATCAGCTTCTACTTCTAGAATTAATACTTTACAATTTCATTAAAAAAAAGGCATTAAAATCCTGCTAAATTAGCACCATCTGATATCAAAGTTATTAAACTTGGTCTCCAAATTATCCAAGTAAATCCTAATTTTTGTGAAAAACAAACATAAATATACATGGGATCCTCCAATGTTAATCAAGATGCACTTCTCAATCATAATTTATCAGACTTGGAGCGATGTCAGTCTCATGAAAGAGGTACTGACCTGCTCTGTGAGTGACAAGTTGGAATCGAAGAAAGACTTTATCGTTCCAATATCCTCCCAGTAGTCGCTAAAGAGATATGCCTGATATTATTACAAGATGCATCGGAAACACAGTAGTCAACAAGATTTGAATGTCAACTTCAAAAAACCACAGATCTGAGAAATCTTTTAAGTGCATATTTGGTATCAGTTCGAGACAGTGTAATGGTAAGATTTTATCTTCTTTATATAATTTAATATTCTCTAGTATTATCCAGTCTCCCTTACTAAACATGCCGTAATTTTTTGTGCCTGAACTCACTTGAATATTGTGGTCTTTCACAGCCGAAGGAATGATCTCTGAGCCAAAGTCGTTGCATGAAGGATACTTCAACTGTAGAAGCTTTAATAGGACGTCAGTTCTGAACACATAAACTCCCATTGACGCAATATAAGGATATTTTGGAGCCTCTTGTTCAGAAAGTCCGAGAACAGAGGTATCGACTTGCTGCAGAGCATCAGCAAACAACTCAAGAAATGTTAGAATATGAAATCTAACAGAATATAAATAGCTTAAACAGTCGACACAGTGGGTTCCTGAAGATATGAGGTCACAGATGTTGCAAAGAAAACTAAAGTTATAAAAATAATGTTAGTATACCATTGCTCTCAGAGCAGAGCCCTTTGGTTTCTCAGCAAATTGAGTGATACGTCCAGATTCATCTATTTTTATCAATCCATAGTCTGAGGCTCGGCTGCAGAACAAAAGAAAGCTTGAAATTTACTCATTAACTCATCGAAGAAAAACATTGATAAATGATTTTCTGATGCCAAACAAAAGCTACATTTCATATTTTCAACTAGTAAGGAGGCTTTAAGGGGGGGTTATCTAACTACGGTTGTAAGGAATAAAGATGCACATATACATATAACAAAAGATGCAGTTACATGTAAATAAGAGAGTCACTAAATACACATAAAGCGGTCATTTGCAGAAAAAAGAAAGAATCCCCATTTTTTTCACCTTAACATGTAAGTATATAACAAAATTTTGTTAAAAGTTGTTTTTATTTATTGAAAAAAGATTCCAGAAAATTTTTGGGCATGATAAAGAGTTACCCCTATACTTCTATCTTTGGGCATTCAAATATCTGTCTCTAAGTCTGCCATATTTTAAGGCTCTGGGTGGGCACATTCCTTCAACGATGATTAATGCTTTGTTTTGAAAAAAAAAAAAAAAATGTGAATACACAGTCACAAACCTATCATCCATGGGTACACATGAAACCGTAATGTCAGCATTTGTGTCAATATGTCTCTGCAAATACAATTTCCATTAATTAGACAAATATTTGCAACATGCATCAAGTTACTGATTGAATAAATGTTCTGTCCGAGTCACCAAGTACCTGAACAAAGTCCATATAGTCCATTCGGTAAAGATGGTCACCAGACAAGATAAGAATGTGTTCAACATTTTTATTTTTAGCATCCTACAACATGTCGAGAATCATCATTTCCTTTGCTCAATGAGTTATTCAATACCAATTTAGCTTCTAAAAGACGTACCTCAAACACCCATATAAATTGCCTCACGGCATCTGCTGTTCCTTGAAACCACTTCTTACCTGCTTCCCCTGGTGTCTGAGTGGCAGCTAGAACCTGTTTCGAACAAATATTTTTCTTTTTAAGCTAAACAGAATCTAAAGGGATGCATAACAAAAGTTTTTATCTTTAACAAG